TTTTTTTTTTTTTTTTTTTTTAACCAAAACCAGCAACAAATGGTTGAGCCAAATGCAGGGAGATTTATTACGAGGTGGCCACCTGTCCATTTAGTACTTTAAACCCTCAAATTGACCATAGCGGGACTTGAAGCAAAGATGATTTTCTCACTTACTACTGTGTTAATTCTTCATGGCACAAACTCACATTGTTGTAGTCGGATTTTCGTTTTCATCCTTGTTAGTTTAACAGCATGCCGTCATTATGGAAGAGCGCATGTCCCATATCGTCATTTCCTTGCAGTCTGTCAAGGGCTGGAGTTCCTACTGAGTGCAATGTATTCCTGGGCCGGATCAAGGGAGGCAGCCGTGCCACAGCACACCAGTGCCACGATCAAAAGCTTTGGTTTGGCTGTTCTCCCATTTTTCTTTGTTACCCTTGCATCCCTGTTAGTCTTCTGGGACAACACTAACTCATCAGGAAATAAAGGGATTTTTCTTCTCAAGAGCTCAGCTTTGCTCCATGGCCAACACAAAGGAGGGAGCAGGACAGGACAGAGCACAGAGTAAATATTTTACAGTTTTGCAACAGCTCGAAGTTGAGGGGATTTGCTGTTGTCAGCGGCGTATTCTTCCACCGTCCAGCTGTACAAGGTTCACTTACTCAGATCACCTCTTATTTCAGATGAAAAGAGACTCTGGATATTCCACCATGGCTGAGCAGCAGAAGCAGGTAAAGGCTCAAGGTCATCTTTTAAAGAATGCGCTATGCAGGTGCTTTGGAAGGCTGGATGTGTTGAATCATCTTCTAAGAGATGTGACAGACACATCCACGCTCTGATTGCTTTAGCATAACTAGGAGCTCATCTCTTATCACTACAGCAACATTTTCCCAGCACTTTTTCCCTTCCAGTGGACTGCAGCTACAGCACCAAGTGGTGAAGGGCCTGTTATCTTTGCTTGTGTGGCAAGAGACCACAACGCTCAACTGTAGCCAGAAGCTGTGCCACCTAACTGGGCCCAGTTCTCAAAGTGGTCCTGCTAAACAATATGTTTCCCAGCTGGTGTGCCCCAGTCTCTTTACCTTGCAGGCAGCAGCCCTGTTCTGCACTTAAGGAATTTGCCAACTTGTACAAGCCCTTTAAGGACAGGATCTCAAGCGATCCATGGATCAGAGTTTGGAAACTACTGTGCTGGAGCTGTTGGCATGAAGAGAAACAGGGTGTTAGCACTTGGACTTGATGAACAAGATTTTTTTTTCCTATGTAAACTTCTCTGCTTCTACAGCTCATGTAATTATACTGTGTGGGATTCATTCACGTAATCACTTCAGCACGTGCAATAAAAACACAGCCTCAAAACAAGACAGTTTCTAGCCAAAGGGCTTTTAAAATAGCTTAAATGCTGAGCTTTAGCTACTCTCTGTCCTATCTCAAAGCAGGACATACACAGTGTCTGATGAACATTAGGAGTTACTAGTTTTTGAAACTCTGAGTTCTTCAGCTAGAAGATGCTAAAGAATCTGAAATACTATTTGATCTAACTAAAAATTCTGATACTTGTAAGACATCAGAGTTTTTCTTTGGTATGTTCGTTCTTCATCCCAGGAGAAACAAGGATTTATAGGATACGATTCTGTTAAAAAGCTCTAAACTTTTTATAGCTTTCGTAACCTTTTTTCTAAAGAATATGTAGAAGGTGTTCCAGGGTCTAAAGATTAAGAAAGTCTTATCTCATGTCAGCATACATGAGGCATAACATGGATGCAGTTGCAAGTATGAAACTACTAAGAGAGCAAATCTCTGGCCCAGAATCCAGCGTGCGCTGTCTGAAGCTGGAATAGATGGCTTTTGCCAGCCTTGCGTTTGTAGTTCTGTACAGCCAGTGATAATGCTGGCAACTGATTGCATTGCTTCTAATACAAACGAGTCCTTTAAATTACTTCCTCCCCAGTTGCTTACTTGATAAAAAAAAAAAAAGAGAGAGATGATAGAAGCAAACATACGTTTGTTTTGATTTAATAAAAAAAAAAAAAAAAGAGATGATAGAAGCAAACATACGTTTGTTTTAACGAAGAAAGTTTCAGTGCTAATGAGCAAAGTTCTGTCCTGGGACAGATAAATATTGCTGACAAGTCCTGGGCAATGTTTAAAGTTCTGTAGCTGTTACAGAATCTTAAAGAAGCTCTTAGCACTGAAAGCCATGTAAAGAGGATTCCTCTTAAAAAAAAAAAAAAAAGAGATGATAGAAGCAAACATACGTTTGTTTTAACGAAGAAAGTTTCAGTGCTAATGAGCAAAGTTCTGTCCTGGGACAGATAAATATTGCTGACAAGTCCTGGGCAATGTTTAAAGTTCTGTAGCTGTTACAGAATCTTAAAGAAGCTCTTAGCACTGAAAGCCATGTAAAGAGGATTCCTCTATATTGCATTACCCTAAACACACCTGCATTCAACATTTATTAGCGAGCTGCCTCTCTTGTTTGTTGTCCCTGACAGGAGACAAGCAGAACAGCAACTATGAATCATACTATTTTTACTCCAGTCTGTTTTTGCAGCACAACAACACAGTTAAACAGGAAGGACGGAGTAATGGACAAGACACTAGCTGGTTATTATACAATATTATTTTAGAATGGCATTGATTATTTTTTTAATCATTTATACTGCAGATAAATGTAATGCATATACATGCAACAAAACCCAAATTAAGATTTCTGAACTCCAGAACCAATTCCAATTTGGGCTACTCTAAAAGACAGATAGTTAATTAAATATTTGTCATATATTTGATAAACAAGTTGTTTTTTAATATTTAAATGCTCAAATATATTGAATACTGATTTTTGAATATAGTTATTCGTGGAATCAAGAGGTCTCACTGGTAATTTTCTGACCCTCTTGAAGTTGCTTTGTGTAGTTAAAATCCTTACTGTGATAAAAGTCATGCTAACATCACAGGTGCCCTTATGCTGTATACAAGAATATTTCTTTAGTAGATAACATTTCCATGACTGAGAGCAGGGATTTAGAAAACTTTATACTTTTGAAAAGTTGAGTATTTTAGCTCCTTGTTGTTCTATACAGATGGCACATGGTACCTACTAAACAAGTTGTACTCTCAGTACTAGAGCTGAGTTGTACCTGTGGTGACCTAAAGGCACAGGAAGGTGAATTATGCAAGGAAAGGTAATATCCTGTATTAAACCTCTGTTATACTTGGGGAAAAAAAGGCAAGCTTCTGGGCACATGAGCCTGCCTTCAGAATCAGTCTTCAAAGCAAAGAGGAAAAGTGAGAGGAGTGGTTCTGGATTAACTGGAGCTGTTAATCAGATCATCTGGGCACAACAATTCTTGACTACTGCAGGGAGAAAGCATACTGCATACTGGGAGGGAGAATATACTGGTAGGGTGAGGGAAGTATCGAGATGGAGCACCATTCCTTACCCCCAGGTCTTCCATGCGTACTGCTTGGAGTTATCCAGAAGCCCCTTATATTATAGTCCTCCAGGTACTGAGAAACATGCCCAATAAAAATGGGGAGGGGGGAAAAAAAAAGAAGTCAGTGGTCCTTTCTCTCCCTTTGTTTATTCTGGAGAAATTCCATGTCAGTGACACTTCAGGTGACAAGGCAGATGGATGTGTGTGTACTACCCCCCTCAATTACACACAGTATCCCATAAAACAGCTTTGTTGCTATGTTCTTTAGGGTGTTAGTGAAACAAAACAGGCCATCATAGAACTGCCTTGACCTCCTGCATTTCAAATACAAAAAATGCTAGTGTAGGACACAGCAGCACATGCTTACTCTTGTTGCTTGCTCACAGGAAGTGAAGCTCTGGGATGCCATGAAGATCACTGCCTTTGTCCTTGGTACAGGCCTGCTCACATTCACTGCCTTAGCGAACTCTGTTTCTTGGTAAGATTGTTCAAACAAAGGGGCTTGAGGAGAAGCTTTTCTGTGGAGAGGGGAAAAAGTGGATGATTAAAAGATGGGCAACCAAGAACACTTATTCCCACAGGAATGTGCAGAATATCTGGGACCCTCCAGGCCATTTCTGGCAAACAGCATGGCTAAAGTTCTACTACCTGTTTGACGGAAAGGAGTGGACAATCTTCCTCCTTGGTGAGTTACTCAGGTTAACAACCCTCTGCTGTAGGAGGAACTATCCATGTATTACGTCTAGAAGGGGACATGGACATGCCTTCCCAAACTCACTAATCCTCCTACTGAAAAAGCACATGTAGGCTTCAAAGCCAGCCACAGCTGATGTAGTGCAACTGTGCTGCCTTTGGACTGGTTCATTATTAGACCCCCAATACAGATTGAAAATTTGATCTTTTTGCTGCTGCTGAAATGGCTTCCCTTTGAAAACACACCCTTTGCTCCTGTGAGAACTGAATGACTCAGTAGAACTAATTATTGAAAATTAAAGTAAAATTAGTGAATTTTATTCTTGCTGTAGCACCTATAAAATTCTCTGCCTGTGATTAACAGCTGGTGAACAGGCCTGGTAGGGACATTCAAAGGTCCCAGGGATCAACTTGACCTTATCCAACTTGTATTTAAACCCCCCCCATGACAGAGATTCCCCCAGCCTCCCAGAAAAACCCTTTCTTAGCCTCAGTTGTGGCAAGTCTCAACCTACAAGACACTTGTCTACTCTAACCTCCTCCCCATTCCCTAGGTCTTACCCGGGTGGCAGAACATACCCATACTCCATTTTAAAGCCTCTCAGGGTAGGGGATACACACCTGGCACATCTGGGTCCCAGCAAGGTCCTCTGGATACTATGCCACTGTATTTTCCTTCTGATTTAGCCATAGCTCTCAATTTATTCACACATCTCTGCCCTTTCCTCATGCCACAGGGGCTGCATTGGTTCCTAGCCTTGCTTTCTGGTGCTTCAATGGAATCCTTATGGTGGCTGATGTAACAGGAAAGCCAGCTTTCATTACCCGCTATCGCATTCAGCTGGGCAAGAATGATCCTGTAAGTATTTCTCACTCTGCCTCTTCTGCTGGCTAAACACTTCCTGCAGTCTCTTAGGCTAGGAGCGGAGAGAAGAACCTGTTGTGCTTTTCTCTTGCAACCAGATAGGATTCAAGGAGAATCAAGCTGAGTCTTGTATAACCCCTGCAGAGAGGAAGGCAGTTCTTGTAATTAGGCTACTGATCAGATCTGGATTGACGGCTTGTTAAAAAGTTGATCCCAAAGCTAACACAGAAACAGCCTACAAATCTTAAAGCTCTTTATCCTCCCAACTCAAAGCCACATTGCTTCTGATTTAGCCTCAAGTCCTGACTTCTCTTTTGCAGGTGGACACAAAAAAATTGTGCCAAGCCATCTACACAGCGCTGTGTAATCAGTTCTTTATCTCCTTGCCCATGCTTGTGCCCATGTTCTACATCATGAAATGGTGGGGCAACACCTTCAGCAAGGAATTACCCACCTTCTACTGGTTTCTTGTGGAGCTAAGCATCTTCACCTTAATAGAGGAAATTCTCTTTTATTATACACACAGGTGAGCTGAGCACAGGAACAGGACTCTCTGGTTTTCCCCCATGCCTTTAAGCTTATACCTATCTCCTGCAACAGCAGTGGTCCTAGTGCCAAGGACTTCGACCAATCTTGTGTTTGTATGGGAAGACTTACAGGTCCTGGAATCCACCCTTACAATGTGAGGCTTGGGTGCTGCAATGCTGCTAGTAACTCTAGTAAGCAAAAATAGGTAAAATTACAAAGGTGGAGCAGCTTAGAGGCTAAGAAAAAAACAAAACAGCTAGCTTCACGCAAAAGCTGTAACCCGGCATTCTTCAAAAAGAAAACAAGACTGACTATCCTGAAAAAAAAAAGCTCAAGAGGTCAGCGACTCATCTCCCGTTCACTTCTACGGCACCTACGAAACAGGTCCTGGTTCCTGACACTGCAGGCTTTCTAAGCGCTGACACCACCATTAAAGGAAAAACCTAAAACAAGGAAGAATAAAGACTGCAAGGCTGTGCAGAAGCAGGCCCGGCATTCTCAGAAATATGTAGGTTTCCCTTTTGGACAAATGCACACAAAAAAACCATTAAAAAACCCCAATTTCTTAAGGGCCCACAGAACCTAAAATTCTGCTTCTAATAGTTGCCAGTAGGTAAAGTTAAAACAGTGAAAATATAAAGTGAGTCTTTTCCTCAAAGGTACTCCCAGGTTTAAGCAAATCAGTCATTCAGGGACTTTTATTTATGTGATTTATCTGGATTTAAGTTTACCATCAGTCAGTGGACACATACATTAAGTGAGGGCTCTGTGTTAAAAAAAAAAAAAAAAGAGGGAAGCCAGGAGTCCTACACTCTTCCCAGCTGCTCTAAATCTTTTTTTTAAAAGAGAGGCACAAGCAAGTCCGCAGCAGAAATTCTGTGTTAGGTTACTCTACGTTCCCTTCTTATGGAGTTCAAAACCTACATTTCTCTGTTTTCTCTACTTAGGCTTGTTCACCTCCCGCTCCTGTATAAGCACATTCACAAGAAGCACCACGAATGGACAGCCCCCATTGGCGTGGTCTCCGTTTATGCTCACCCGGTAGAACACATAGTAAGTGGATTCCCCGATGGTCACCCTCCAGTTCCTGCGTGGAGTGTGATTTCCATGAGATGAGGAGGAGTGGTAAGAGAAGAAAAGCAAACGCACCCTTAGAATCTTCTTTCTTAGGATGAGGAAGATAAGCTGCATTGCCAAGAAGTCTAGCTGTGGAAGGGTTGCAATACCCGTTTATACTGAACTCTGCTAGCTTTATGAGCGCAGATCCAAGGGCCTCCAACAGATAAGGAACTGACCGAACAGTGCTTCCTTGAGCACAGAGAGGGCTGGGAGCACCGACAAGGCTTTCAGCACGAGATGTGACACTTAACACAGTCTGGGTTACTGAATGGAGTCAGAATTCTATCAAGATTTTCATGCTGGTGGCTGGGATCGGTGTTTCCAGGAGTGTCTCCCAGCTGAGACTTCTCATGCAAACACACCCCACCTTCAGAAGACTCCACTTCTCAGTACCATCTCCTGTTGACAATAGTCCTGGGCTGCAGCACCAGCTCTGTGAGTCTCCCTAATTGACAGTCTTTTGGGCAGCAGAATGCCTTTCTATGTTCAAGAGTCCAGCTGGGCCTTGCTGGTGCAGTAAGCTTGGTCTGGGCAGTGACAGCCATTTGTGCCACTGGTAGGACACAATGGAGTGAGGCAGCTGAGATCATCACATCACCACCTTTGACTGCACGTGTCCCCAGGCCGGCGCCCTTTGACAGCTAGGTTTCCCAAGAGCAGCTTCAGCATTATTCCAAGGTGAAACTGAAATTCAGATCTCTGACTCCAGGGTGATTTACTGGAATCATGCTGCCCTCACACCCCTGGTTTGATCTCACATCTAACTTCTACAAGCTTGGGGAGCTTGGGCTGTGACTCTGTTTTGCAGCAAGTAAAACTCAGTTAGCTCAGAGTAAATTATTTCTTTGACGATTATATAATTTTAGTAAGGTGTTTGCAGAGGGATCTTCCCTTTATGCTGCTTGCACAAAACTAATGCGATGTATCACCCAAGTGAAACAATTCAGCTCCTAGAGGAGAGTCTGTTTGTTGTGGACCGATTAATGAGGTAGTTTGCTTCTCATTTCTAGCTCTCCAACACACTGCCTGTCATGACTGGCCCGATGCTCATGGGGTCTCATATTGTGTCAATCGCAGCGTGGTTCTCCATTGCTCTCATAACAACAAGCATTTCGCACTGCGGCTACCACCTGCCCTTCCTGCCGTCGCCAGAGTTCCACGACTTCCACCACCTCAAGTACGTCTGGGCACTGCTCAGCTTCTCCTTCCCCTCCTGCCTGCGCCCTGCCACTGCTGACGGGCAGAGCTCCTTTCTGAGGGTCAAGTGGGTTTGCATAACTCGGGTACAAGCAGAGAAGCCTATCCCGTTCGCCTGACAGCAGGCTGAACGCTGTCAGTTCTTAAAGCGGTTAGACAGAGATTGGGATTTCAGAGGACTCCAGCCCACTGCCCACGCAACTGCCAGCCACCTCACTGACATCTGCCCTCCTCCATCAGCTGACTTGGAAACTTTCTCCAAAGCACAAACACCGCAGCTGGGGTCGGGCATTTCAAGTTTCCTAAGCTTACATGGGAGGAAAGAAAGCACACGGTGTCTGAAGCAGCAGGTATCACCTGGACTGTCCCCAGCACAAGCACAGGGTCGGAGGCAGTTCTCTGCAAGGCTTTTCCTAGGAGTTTAGCAGACACCACATGTGATCTAGAATAAAAAGAGCAAGGGCACGTCACACAGCTGAAAGAAATTTGCAGGGAGCCTTCCCTGTCTGTCCTCCCATACACTGGGATTAGTAACACTGATCAGATAACACCTTGCCCAAACAATTACAGTTAACACTTCCTAGCAGAGATTCCCAGCCTCCTCCTACAGTGAAAAGCGCAGAGTTTCAGCAGGTTGTTTCAGGGATACATCTCACAGTAGTGGAAGAAGTATTCCCATCTCCCAGATGTGCACTGAATTCATAGACATACTCCCTTGAACACAGTTTGCCTTTCCTGCAGAAACAGCCACTGTGGCAGTTCTGTCGCCACCCAAATGCTGGGCAACACCCAAACCACAGTGCCAGTTCTTGTTATCAGTCATTTCCTCCGAAGCTTGGCTCATGTCAGGACATGGGTCACTGCAGAGCTGAGATGCTCTCCTGGGCGGAACGGCTCTGCTGGCATCCCAGTGCTGGAAGCACGGCAGCTCTGCGTCGCAGGGCAGCCGGGTCTCTGGAGCACGCAGACACGGCAACGTGGCTGTCCAGCTGCTCCCGCAGCTCTGAGCTGTCTGGGAGAGAGACGGCTGTTGTTCAGAGCCACCATTTCTGGGTAACGATGGCACCAGAGAGGGAAGTTGCGGAAGTTTCACCCAGGCTTCGTTAGAGCTGCAAGGGAGACTGGTGCAGTGGCAGAAATTGCATGGACAGCTTATCGGGGCTCTGAAAGGAGATGGAAACAAGAAGGGCGAGGTAACCTCAGTAAGTTTCAATGATGTTTATTCTCTGGTCGGTTTCCAGGTTCAACCAGTGCTACGGAGTCCTGGGAGTGCTGGATTATCTGCATGGAACAGATCGAGTGTTCAGACAAACCAAAGCCTTTGAGAGACACAGGGTCCTCCTCAGCCTCACGCCACTCTCAGAAAGCATCCCCGATGCACCCAGGAGGGCAGAGTGAACCCAGCAGCCTGCGGTTCTTCCAGAGCCCAGTGACTGGCAGAGCGAGACACGATGACTTACGCCAAATAGTATTTTAATTGGGAAACAAGTTATTCTTCACACATAACAAAATCCAAAGCTGAATTTGAATGTGCTACTTGAAATGACTGCGCTTTTGCTGCCTGTTATTTTCTTCCTAAGGCACAAAAAAACCTGCTCTAGAAAGCTATTTTTAAACAATGTTTAGAGGTTTTTTTTTCCCTTAATTACTTGCGCTGTTCCTTGGTTCTAGCTGCCTGCACATAAGCCAGATGTGTTCTGGGCCACATGGCTTTGGGGAGTTCCTAGGAAGTTCTCATTATTAAGGTTTTAACACTTCAGTGTTCACAGACCATGCTTTGGCTTCTTTCAGCAGCATTCTATAGAAATACCAGCAAGATCACTGTAACTACATATGATAGGAATTAAAACCACTGTTTTTGAGACTCGGAACACCTGGGATATGGGATGCAACCCCATGGAAAGTCAGTGGGACCACAGCTTTAGAAACGCTCTCCCTTGCACACACAACAGAGGCCTGACTTCCCCCGAGCAGTTTTTCTTCATGCGAGAGGTCAGTACAGGTCTGAGTGAAGGGCTGTCACATCCTCGTCTCCACTCCACAAACTAACGCCTGCAAAGTGCATTTCCCCCCTCGTGGGGCAGGGAAGCAGAGCTGGGAGCTGATGTGCTACATGGCAGAAGCCCTCGCACATCACCTCCTCCTGCTGAGCCTCATCTCGCTCCCCACACGCCAAAAGGAGGCACAAACCGAAACGAGCAGCTCTGTACAATGATAAACTATAGAAAGACTTTCCAGGGAAAGAAGAGTCCCTGCTCTCCAGTGTGGAGATCAGTCAAACCCTGCAAGAAAAGACCCAACGAAAAGCACCCGCACCTTTACGCACATCCATAAGTACCTATACAACCTATTGAAACACGCTGCAAGTTTTCTCCAGGATCTTTTTAAGTCTCAATCCTGCTTGGGATAAAAGTGACACCTGTCTCTCACCATCGCTAGGCCCATGTCCTAAGCGAGCCCTCCGAGGAGAGGGCACGCAGAGCTGACCTGTGCTGCGCTTACCTGCTGCCAGCCCAGCTCCACCCGTGGAAGCCAGCTCTCTTCCCCCACCCTCCTCCAGTCCCCACAACCACACAGGGATGAACCCAGCCCGTTCATCCACCCACAGCCCCCTGGGGAGGGCAAGTCAGCGGAACAGAAAACCCAGGCGGCATTGTCTTTTGAAGTTTTTATTTTTATACATTTTTTTTTTGTATTAAAAAGGAAAAAGCATAATTACCACAAATTACAAAGGACTAAAGCATTACTAGAATAATGAATCACATCAGCCTAGAAAGCAGATACTCTGAATAATATTAATGTTATAATACAAGCTCTCATTCAAGTATTTTACATTTTTCTCTTTTCCTTTTATACGTGATGATGATCCTAGCACATGGGTCAAAGATTATGTACTATCGACAGAAGATGGATCATGTACAGCGGTCCATATTAACAAGATTTTCCTCCCAAGTGATACATGGTCTGTGATGAGTCATTTTAAGTTTGTCTCTACAATAAATGCAGCTGAAGAAGGTTGCACACACGTTCTAGTTTTGGGAAACAGAAGGCTGAGGTTGGGACACACAGGGTTTGAGAAGGGCCAGCACATCGAACCATCACCCCTTTTGCTCCAGGCGAGCGAGCAGAGGGCCACCCTCGCCGGGGTGCAGCTCAGCGGGGGTTCCTGGGCCACAGATCCAAAGGTTTCCAACCCCAACGGGACCGGCTGGGAGAGGAGGAGGGGGAGCGGGGCTGCACCAGGGAGGCTCGAGGGACCAAGTGGTGCCAAGCACCCCCTCCCGCAAGGGACACCACCGGCACGAGCCAGCCCCCGTGCGGGGCTGACACCTGGAGAGCGAGCCGCAGGGGGACAGCGCGGGGACCCTGGGGTTGACCCGAGCACGCTCCCACACGCGGCAGGGGGCTGGCTGGCACCCAGGGCGCTCCCCACTCCTCTGCAGCTCCCCACCAAAAGGATGTGCTTGTCACAGATACATCGGTCCTATGTTCAAGTGTCTGCAGAAAGTGAAACTGTAAACTACTCATTGAAACGCTGCCCTCCAGCTACCTGCTCCACGCCACCGAGATGAACATTTTCTTTAAAGAAAAGAAAAAAAAGTCATTCACCTATTACCTGTATTGGAAACCTTTTAAAAAAAAGAGTTGGTGAGGCATTTAACATCAAGTGTAGCAACCCTCTCAAAAAGAGCCTAACATCCATTTCAAAACAGTGACAAAGTGACATAACCAGTCTCAGAGGAGACAGGAGAAAATAAGCATTGCAAACACAGCTTGCTACATTTACAGTTTTCCTTTTTTTTTTCTTCCTCATTTGATAAAATAACTGGAAAGGCATTAACAGCTAGAAGCCCCCCCCGCACTGCCATGCTGAACGTGTACAGACACGTGGCAGGATACTGAGGTTAAATGCATCATTTTGTTACAGTACAGTCAACCAGTCCCAGACAGGATGAGCAGGTGCCAAAACTCAAGGGACCCCAAGGGCTACAGTGACAAGCCGCCATCAGGGGTGCGAGGGGGGCAGCAGGAAGAGGGACAGACAGATGAACAGAGCAGCAGGATTATTACTTTTTTAAATTATTTTTTTTTCCCCCCCAAATAAGCACAGCAAAGCAACAAAGCCTCCTCCGAAACACACCTTCCACCTCCACTCCTGACCCCATGCCAGAGCTCTGTAATGCAACCGCCTGCATCCCAAAGACGGGCTGACACACAGGACCGCGGCAAAGAGCCCCGGCTGTAGCAGCCTGGGACCTCTCGAGAAGAGGGGCGAGACAGGGAGCACTCCCCCCGCTCTGCCTGCAGGCCCGCCGGCCTCCGCCAGCCTTTCTGAAATCAGCCGGGGCTGGGCGCCAGCACCACACAGCCCTTGCGAGCTGGGGGACAGATCAGTGTTCACAGGAGTACGCATGCCCGATCACTCAGACCACTAAAAAAAAAAAAAGCACAAAACATGATCATGGTGAAGCCTCCAAGCTAAAAGCAAGGCCAAACTCCCTCCTCGGCAGGAAGGCAAGAGCTTCCTCAAAAGCAAAACCCCCTCTCTGGATAGCAGCCCCTTTGTCCGGCGGTGGAGCGAGCCATGTGCTATGCCTTCTGTACGCAGCAAGAGGGAAAGTGCCTCTGCAGACCTGTCCCCCGTGCAAGCCATAAAACAGGGGAAAGCCTTGCTGCTGTCAGCCCTTCCTCAGCCTGGCACTGACCACACACTCTGCAGCCCTGACCTCGCCATGGCCTCCGCACAGCACAGGGGTGCGGGGTGCTGCCCTGTAACCAGAGCACCACGGAGCTCCCTGCCCTCTGCCACCACCCACGCCGCAACCGGCGGGCATCGCACCCCAGCAGAGAGCAGAAGTGAACGGCCCCGAAGTGAACGGCCCCGTGTTCCCTCAGTCCAGAGGAAGACAGGCGGGAGCAACCAACAGCTGCCTCAGGCTGTCACGTCCGTCTTTCCTTTGCTCCCTGGCTACGCTGCTGCCTGACAGACAGTAAAACAAGGCACACAGTCCGCAAATCCAGAGGGACCGCTGGGATTGCTCTTCTGACCCACCTTGCCCTGGGAAACAGGGGGGTTTCACATGGAGCCCTCAGTCACGCTGATGTGACAAACGACTGACTCGGCAGAGGGGGGGAAAACTCTTCCGTGCCGAGACTAGAGCCTCAGCCTTAGAAATTAAAAAATAATTTAAAAATCAATTCAGATTTTGGGAAATTCTCTGGGAAATTTCTTACCTCTTCTACCACCCAAGCAATTCCACAGTCTGCTCCACAAGCAACAACTCCACAGCAGGAGCTCGTTCCTCCTCATTTCCTATTGCATTTGTTGCTAAAATGCAGACAATTGGCTTCAAATGAGAACACACACCGACGAGAGGAGCACAGGGACACAGCAGCAAGGACCACCCGCGGCACATCCAGACCCGCCTCCACTTGTGAACAACCAGCAACGCATCTCCAGTGTCCCTGATCAACCCCCAGCTCCAGCCTCTGAGGCTCCTCCTTCCCAAATCGGGCACAAACCCCGCTGCATCCGTAACCTCAGAGATGAGACTCTGGCTCACAAGAGAGGGGAAATCCAGAGATAACAGTCACAGCCGCAGCACTGTGCAGGCGTTACTTGCCCGTCTTGCCCAGTTACCACCCCGCAACCCCAGAGCGCTGCTGCTGTAATGGAGCAAGCCATGGACTCAGGCAGGCTGGCATGCTGAAATCGGGCCTGCGAGTGGTACCAAGCTGCAGGGCGACGTGGCAGGGGCGGACAGACCAGGGCGGGATCACACCACCAGGAAACAGCAAAGTAGCAGCTACCCAGCCTCACTCAAACCCAGCTGTGCTTTCAATTCTAGCAGCAGTTCACAAAGCTGCTCCATACGGACCAGCCCACCTCCCTCCCCGCCCCCCTCCCC